TACTTTAGCCATAGAGTCAGACTGACAGGATAAAGTCAAAATAACCTGTTAAGTAACACATGTCTTTCATGTTGAGACTTCTACAAATTTATATCTGCAGTTTTTATGAATTTCATTGTTTCATAAAATGAAAAAAAAATATATGTACCCACTAAAAATAATGTTTATAGCAGTAAAAATAACAATATATCTGTCTATATGTCTGAGATGAGGCATTATGTACACTATTTACATTATTCGGACTATTGTCCTCATCTTTGTTGCCATATTTATTACAATGTTTAGGCTGTTGTCTTCTCTGGTCTTCTTCAGGTTGTTAGAATGTTGAACTGAACCCTTTATTTCGCTCACTGGGGTAGACTGTTCTAGTTCCATGTGCCATGTTTAATGGATGTCAGTTATCAGTTATCTCCAATTTCTGCCTTAAGTGGGTATTGATTTAAATTTATACACTGTGCCATGTGTCCTTGATATATATGTGTGTGTGTGCGTGTGTATGTGTGTGTGTGGAAAACATTCTTGACACTAAAGTGTGTAAAAGTAAAATGCAGGAGTTTTGATTGAATATGTGTTACATGCAAGGGAGTAACAGATAATAGTCAAATAAGTCTAAGAAAACATTCTGGATGTTAAAGTATGTAAAGGCTAGTGAGACGCTGTAGGATATTTTGAACAATTTTTCATTATAGTATATCATGTACATATTTTGTATATATATTGATTTTTATATATTTGGAAGAAAATATATATATATTTGCAATGAAAATGGAGTTAATAAGCTGACTTTGAATTGTAGCTGATTGCTGCCACATATGGTCCAGTTCCCCTGCTATTTACCTTAAGCTGCTTGATAAAATCCAAAGAAGAATCAGCAATATCATCAGTCCTGATCTGGCAGCTCAGCTTCAGTCACTTTCCCACCACTGTATGGTTGCCTCTCTGTGCCTTTTCTATAAATACTTTCATGGTAATTTTTCAGATGAGCTCTTCACTATGGTAGCTAGACTTTTTGAATTTAACTGCAGTATTAGACTGGCAGGGAGATCTCATCAATTTACAGTTGAGCTGGCTAGATGTAACCATAAATTCTATGTTAACAGTTTATTTTCTTGCACTTCTCACTTGTGGAACTATTTCAGCTCCATGCTTTCCAGTCAAGTTTAATCTTCAAAAGTTTAAATGCAATGTCAATCACTATCTACTGTCCTCCTGATTACTTTTTCCTCTTCCCACTCATTATTAATGTTCTTGTTCCTAATTTTTCCACACCCTGTAACCCCCTTGTGTCTTAGTGGCTTTACTGCCTTGCATTGGGTGATACTGATTTAAAAAAAATGTACTAACTGTAAGGTAAGATATGAAAAATGCTATCAACAATGTATTTTTTAAATGAAGCAGATGAAGCTGCTTGGGTTCACTTATCCTTATGTAAGGCATAAATCTAATTCTCCCTGCATTCTGTACAATTGCCAATTATCTTGATAAAATGTCTTATTGCTGGCATGCCATACAGGTGAGTGCTGAAAAGTTTTTGGTCTGCCCTATTTCTGAAAATCAAAACTACCATCAGAATTGCCGGGGATTTTATTCTTGGTTAGGCTGAGAACTTTTCAGTACCTCTGAGTACATATATGAAAATTTAATAGATTCCATAAAATCCAATGATCTCTATCTCAATTTCTGGAATGAGGTATTATTATTTATGATAATAATAACAAAGATGAGGATATTAGTCTGTAAGTAACTGTTCAATGATGTTCGTAAGTTGATACATGTGTGGATATTCCCTCATTGAAGCTTAGTCTGGTATAAGACCTCTCTACTGAGTGCCCAGTGAGAACAAAACCCTTTAGAGTAGCAATCGGTTCTAAGACTAATTTCCAAACTCAGGACGTTTTCACTCCTAATGGAGGAACCCCTCCCTGGTTGACCTCCACCATTTCCTATCTCTGGCCTTACTGGGTTATGTGGGTTGAGGTATCCGGTTAGATTGTTGTGCCATCTTGCCTTTGGCCATCTTCAAGTTCTTTTTGACTGCTTTCATGTCCACTCTTTCACTGTAATAGTCTACCTGTTGTCTCTGAAATGAGAGTCATGGCCAGCCCATCTATTTTGCCTTTCTTGAAGAGTAATTTACTAAACAAAATACACAGGTGTACATTATTAACTGAATTTAATTTTCTTGTGAGGAAAAATATTTAATTCATTGGATATTTATGTGCTGCTAATTGTTGAGGGATATCATTGAATATTTGACTCCAATGAATATGTTTAATAAAACCCCAAACTATAATATTTACAATTGAAGTTGTAAATCACTATATATGGTAATTGTCAGATTAGTCATTCCTTTATAATAAAACATTCAGTATTCATTGACCAAACAGTTACCATTACTCTCAGCTACAATTTATAAAATCTTTTTCTTAATATGGTTTTTCAGGAAAATAGTCTTTTCAATTCACTGTTATTGATTTTCTAGTTTTGAGGGGAGTTTCTTTCCTAATGTTTTATTTAAGGTTATGTGGAAAGTCAACATCTTGGTTATTAATTAATTATTATTTTCCTTTCTAGTTGTGTGCTATCCATTTTAGTTGTTGCTGTTGTTGGATGTCTTCAATTAATGTGATTTTTTTTTATTTGGTAAAGTTCTTTGTCTGTGATTCTAAATTAGAATTTATTGTGTGAAAAGTGATGGCAAATTTTATCTCACTAGAATTTTTTGCAACACACTGACACATGCTGAGATCCCCACAGTATTTTGTAATTTTGAAGATATTGCTAACATTTTTTGTCAAGATTTACAGACTCTATATTTCGTTCAATTTCGCAAACCAATTGATGAAATATAAAAACTTAAAAGAAAAGATATGCAAAAAACAATATTGCATTTTTATTAAATAAGTATTTGTCATTTTAATCATTAAATTCTTTTAAAATAGTGGGAGTATTTTATATGTTATATTAAATAATAGAATTTTTTATTTTCTCCCCAAAATTAATGAAAAATTATTGTACTAAGCTATGCACCCTAGTAAAATCAACTATACTTTGTACCCACTAACCTGTTTACACTTCTCCCTAAAATTTGCTTTTGATTGGTTAATGAATGGCTATTTTAGAGGGTGTGATGGATGGATGAACTAACAGAATTTTATATATAGATAGATGCATTTAGTGCAGTGGGACTGAACTGAGCCAGTTACCATATATATGTTACTACTTTGATTTTATGGCATATCAACACCAATGGGTTATTTAATGCTGACAACTTTTTTCCTGGTAATATTTTGTTTTGTTAAAAATCTAGTTCTGGTTTATTTTTTTTCCTCAAAAATATATAGCTAGTGATATTATTTTAAAAAATGTATTGCTGGTAATATTTTTTTTCAAAAACGTATTTGTTGTGTATGATACACCTAATTTACATAAGCGGACTACCGACCATATAAATATGGGTTGGTACCGGAAGACGGGGAAGATAGTAGAGATTAAGAAATTGAATCCAGAGACTCTGCCCGACTGCGATTTAGTCAACCCATTATGCAGGAACAGTCTTCCCAAGAATATACCAAACTAACTGTAAATATTGTGTACCTATTCTTTGTTTCAATACATTTTGTTAACGTACATTTTGTGTTGTATTATTCCATGCTTATTTAAGCTTCAACAGTATTGCTGGTTTTATTTTTTTTCTTCAAAGAATTTATTTCTGGTAATAATTTTTTACAGAGTATTTCTGGTATTAAAACCTATTTTTACACTTAATGATTTTACCTCAGTTTCGGGGTTAACTATTTGCCCATAGCTGGGACCCTAACAGGTGCTACCACCCCGGGTCAGTGTGGACCTGGGAACACCAGCAATTAAGAGGTGGTTCCATGCTCCTCAAAACCTCCTGATCAGAGGCCTTGCTGTTGCATGTAGTTTATCATCTTACCCAGGATGCGGATGTAGTTTATCGTCATACCCAGGACACCAATTTGTTTTTTTCTCATTCCTTATATATACACCTGAGGAAAACAGGAGAACGGACTGGCTGAAATTTGGTAATAATATAAGCAATACAAAGAATGTGTTTAACTGTCTGAACAAATCTTGGAATGATAATAATTCAACACAGAATTATAGAAGTCTGTAAAATAGATCTGCTGAAACTGAAACATAAATAACAAGGAATTATGTCTGTTGTCTGAACAAATCTGAGAATGAAAATGACTCTTGTATATTTACTAATTTGGTTACATTTAACAAGTATATGTAATTTTTGCAATTAAACTTATAAAATAAAAGTCTTGTAATGGTGGTAAATATTCTGTCTTGTTCCATGATGCTGTTGCTGATTGTTGTTGCTTGTTTTGATTTTTACATTTACTAGACATTTAGACATTTACTACTAATCTGTTTAGGGGTAAAGGGAAGGTAATATTTCGAACGACAATAAAAGAGAGAAGGAAAGGGTAAATAATCATTCATATGCTCCAAATGAAAAATAAAACAACATTGTCTTGCATATTTGAATACAATGTAATAACAGTAATGGTAACAAGCAAAAGAGAAATGGCATTTTTGAAAAGGGTTAAAGTTCATAGAAAGTGTAGAGAAATAGTTTGGGAAAATAAATGTTCATGTATGTACAGATGTGTAAGTGGGGGTGTAATATTTGTATGGATAGAAGTAACTCATTCAGGAATTTTCTTTTCCTGCTGTCAATATAGTTGGGTTTATTTCTTTTTTGATTGATTTGTTTTTATGGCTTATCAACCCTTTTCAGGTTATATAAAGCTAGAAAATATTTTTAGATTGTAAGAATATTTTCTTTTTCTTTTTTGGAGACAATAATGATTTAGTGATAAAAGTTTTACTAATTAACCAATAGTTAGGGGGAAGAGGTGGAGTCATACCTTTCTCAAGGGTATTTGTGCATTAGTCAATATAATGAACCCAACTGGAATTGGAATTCTGAGCGATTATCCATTATACTACCTGCACATTCAAGCTCACAGCACCTGGTTTTCCTAAGTGGTCACCCATCAAGGTACTAACCAGGCTTGACGTTGCTTAACTTTGGTGAATGTACAGAAACTGATGTTTCAATGTGATGAGCCCATAAGACCATTAATACAAGGTTAAATATCAATATAACAGAAAATTAATACAAGGTTAAATATCAATATAACAGAAACATTATTGTTAATTATCAATAATTTCCATTAATCTGATTGGATTATATAATTATGTATATTTAACTGAGTTAAAAAAACATAAAGTCTTCAGGCAAGCATTTTATCATGCTTGGGTCAAACTTTGTATATTGTAAGTGCTCAAATTGATGTGGTTTCAGTAAGTGAATATGCCCTGTGTGCTCCTAGATTTGCTTGCTGTTAGTACTCTTATATGGCTTTTGGTTTGTTCTTATATAGGCCAGAGATAGGTTCCAAATGAAAGCCAAAATTTAATATTTTTTGCTGTGTTCCCATTGGGTGAGAAAGTCACATAGTATGTTTACTATGATAACTGTGACACCAAGTCTGCTTTTATGTATCTATTTTTAGACTTGATCAAATTGTATTTTTATTTATTTGGTTTTGTGTATTTCCAAAGTCTCAACAGTTTATAATTTTAAGAAATTTCATCAACATTTCAAATTTGATTGAGACAACGAAATTCCTTCTTTATGCTCTTGATGATGTGACCATAATATTTTGGCAAATCCATTCTTAAGGAAACAGAAAAAACAAACCTGTATTCTTTGAGATAATGGCAGAAAAGTGATCCCAGATACACTAGCTGGATCATTCCATATGACAGACAGATGAAACTGCCAGTTGATTTCAATTTATACATGGAAGAATTTTTCCACATTGCATTTCTTTGAGAGATTTGAGCATGGCATAGTGGTTATTGGCACAGAAAATGGAAGTGGCAAGTTGACTTAAAATTTCAGTCAAAGCCGTTGTGTTTGCTTTTGCACAAATACCATTGGAAAGTGATGCATCTAACTCTTTCCTAGAGCTAGTGGTTAATAGACTCACTTGTTTTGTTTGGCAACCAGTCTAGGAGAATGATAAATCTGAATTTAAAACTGGTTGGGTGTGCTGTTAGCAACACTTTTTGCTATAGAAACCATAGCAGCAACACCTAGTATGGTGAGTCTGTGGCTCTATATTCCACAGAGGAATCTATAGGACCTTATAGCATCCACCTGCTTCCCAAAATCTAAGCATGATTTTGCTTTAGAACCCCCTTTTGTACTTTTTGTTTTTGAGTTTATATGTATGGTCATCTGCAAATATGGTTGTAATCTACTTTTCTGGCAGTAAATATTAATTGTACACACCTGCATATATCTATAAGTGGATGCTGAAAAATTTTCAGCCTGTCCCACTTCCGAAAATCTATCTGGTTTTTTTCTGGAAGTGCTTTTTGCACATCTATGTGAGTCTATATGCATGGTCATCTGCAAATATGGTTGTTAGTTACTTTTCTGGCAGTAAATATTAATTGTAATTGCAAATTCAATTTCACCTAAAAAAAAAAGGTAAGTAATTCGATAAGTTAATGTAAGAATTTGTCTGAGTTCTTATGGCAACAATCCACAATCTACCTGATCATTGATTCCCCAATATTGGCGTTCAAAAACAAAACCTGACCCAGAGTCAACTGGCAGACCATCAAACAATTGACATCCAAGGTTTCACTGATTGTGTTATAGAAAAGCAAAAATCTTTTTCAAGGCTGACATTTGGATCACTTGGATCTTTCAAAAAGAACTAAAATAGTTTAAATTTTATTTTTGAAAGAAGATTCTAATAGAGAAACATTTTTCTGATATATAACAGCTTATTATCAATTTTGAGAGTCTTAAAAAATCTATTTTTAGAATACTTTGAATAAAATAAATATTTAATATAAAAGAAAAGATAAATTTTTCTTGGATTTTTAAAATATGTATTTATTATCCCTGAATTATACACAGCAACAATAAATACACATTAAAAAAAGTCAAAACAACATTTTAGAACCAAGTACAAAATGCAATCTGGCATTTTAATTAAATATTCATTAAAGTTTATTTGAAAATTAATACAAGGTTAAATATCAATATAACAGAAACATTATTGTTAATTATCAATAATTTCCATTAATCTGATTGGATTATATAATTATGTATATTTAACTGAGTTAAAAAAACATAAAGTTAATTCTTGTTGGACTGGATGCTTTGCCATGGAGTTGTACTTAAACAAAATCATCTTTCAAATTATTACTACTTTATTAAATTCAATCATTACTAAGTGCTATGTACTTGTGACCATGAGCCAGACTAAACTAAGCAAATATGAAGAGGTTGATATAAAATTCTTGGCCTGATCAGAATGCCCTTCAAAAAAATATTCCTTATACTTGGTTGGGTTTTAAGTAGCAGGTTGGGCTTAGAACTTTACAGTATACTTTTGTACCAATATACTTATGTGTGTCCTTATGAATGTCAAGGTCAATTAATCCTGTGTAAGTAAACCAAGATCTTTGGTACTTAATGTATCATGAAAGCCTAATCCCAAATCTCTCTCTCTCTCTCTCCCTCTCTCTCTCCCTCTGTTCTGGTTGTAAATCAGAAAGCAATTCATCAAATTCTAAACAACTAAAAGTTGCTGACTTCTTGTATTCCAGGGTCAGAAGTAAGACTAAACATTTCCAGATCCTGCCCTACTACCTGTCATCAGTAAATACTTGTTTCTTTGACTCTGATTTTACCGAAAAATTTGTAAATCATGGTCTTTTTAGTATCATTTTATATTACTAATTTGACTGTAGTATACAAAAAATGGTGGAGAAATTTAGGTTTTTATTATAATTTCAGATTACCTTGAACAAAAAATAATTTAAAACATAAATAAATTATGGTATTTTGTCAACTTTAAAAAATACATACATACATACATATATATATATATATATATATATATATATATATATATATATATATATATATATATATATACACATATCCAAATAAAGAGAAAGACCAATCAGGTATAGAATTCTTTAGCATTTATTATTTAAAAATGACTGATATAATGTAGAGCATAATATTATAATATTTTTATTTAAAAAATATTTTATATAGCGACACAGAAATTTTTATATTTCAGAACTTAAATCTGTTCCATTATCAAGTGATGTTGGGTAACATTTGATGAAAATGATTAAGAGTTAAAAAGGAGGGAGGAACAAGATTATGGGTATGTCTTTTTTGACCAATGAAAAGACATGTCAAAGCTAAAGCAGAAAAGTGAAAAAAATGTAGGTTAGTGTGTGTGTTATTCAAATTTGTCTAGATGAACTTTAGCCATATCACCAATTACATCCGGTTAAGAATATGATTTTTAGTTACTATGAAATAATCAGATGGATGTGTATCAAACAAAAGGTTAATTTTAGGGTCTTATTTTTTAAAAATTATTATTGTTTATACTTTAGAACTATCTTAAAGGGACCTCTAGTATGATTAAATCTTTTATATATTATATTATTTTCATACTAAAATACTATACTTATTATATTCAATGGTCCTTCATGGCAATATTAAAATTAAAATCAATGAATTAAATGAATATTATATGTATTATTATATATAATAAAATAATGGATATATAATTGTTACATATCGGTTAATTTTAGAAAAATTCTATTAACTATATTTTAATGTAAACATTGTACAGTGCCTACAAATTACAGTTACTAACTGTAATTTGTCAACTTTAAAATACTAGAAAAATTTTAATTCTTCTATGTCATCAGAAGAGTCCAAAACAGCAAGATGGGACATTGCCTCATCTGCCTGGGGTGTTTTTGATTCAGTTGATGGTGGTAGTATAGCCTCCATTTTTCCCAAATGAGCACAGATCCATAACCAGTAGATGCTGCTCTCCATGTTTTGCAGTAATGGGGAACCAATACTGGAATTTCACCTTCAGGGCAAAGGCTTGGGAATCATTTTATGGAAGATCGACATGTCTTTCCTCTCCATGCCACTGATATCCAAAGATAAGAAAAAGGGGCCTATATAGATAAAGATATATAGATATATATATATAAAGGAGCCATCAACACAGGAGCTGTCAGAATGTGGTTGGGTACAATTTATGACAGCCTTTGGGACACTGGCTCAACATTTGCTGTTAGGGTTTACTCCTAAAACCTTTTTTTATGATTGGATATGGCTGCAAAGCAGAGGAGATTTGAATTAACATATTCCTTCTCTTGAACTGCTTTCCCAGGTTTACAAGTTTCATTTACCTGATCACTTTTGAAAATACCAGTTAAAACTGATGTTTTCTTGAAACATAATAAAGAATGTTCAAATACTTATTTTAAGTAATCTGTAGACAGTGCAAAATTTTATTATGGCATTAAAAAAAAACAATTTTAAAAGTATACATTAATATGTGCAAATTACAAGAGCCAGATCAGGCCTAAAATGGAGTACTGTCATCATATTTGAGCAGGATCTGCCCAGTCCTCACTTTCCAGTCTTGATAGTGTCCAAAAGTATCTCTGAGTGCTTGTGGGTGACAAATTATTTTTCACTGTTCAACCTCTCCCTCACAGGTGGGATGTGGCAAGCCTCTCAGTGCTTCTTCCATGGAAACTGCTTGGACAAACTACATTCCTTGGTCCTGCCAGTTCTAACATTTATGGCTAGGACCCACCATGCAACTCACATTGTAACAAATCACCCATATCCCCTCTGGTGAGAAATAAGTTCCACTTGAGTATCTTCTTCCCACAAACCACTTCTCTATGGAACCAACTCCTAAGAGGATTTTTCACCGATCACTACAATCTTAACCTGTTCAAATCTATGGTTAACCATTATCTTCCTTTACTATCTGCATAAACTGCCTCTAAAAGTAACCCTCTAACTCAAGTGACCCCTTGGGCATTATACAGGGTGAACTTTACTGTTATAAAATTAAAATCAAAGGGGATAAAGAGCAAGTGATTTATGATTTTGAATGACAGTATGATGCTGAATATATTGGCAGAACTAATCAGATGATGGAGGTGAGGATTGATAAGCATGTACAAGTT